GAGCGATGTGGCCCATGGGCCTCTTGTTTGGTTTGGCTGTGGGCCCTGACCCCAAACTTGTAAAAAAAAATTCAAATGATTTTGTACCAGAGGATTGAACTGAAATTTTAATTTTGTGGAAGTATGACCCCTGGGAAAAAGTGTCTTTACAGTATTATTGTATGCCTTTTTTCAATGCTTCAGAAAAATTTTAGAACTCATGTGATATTTTATTTGCCTCTTTTTATGCAGGACAAAGCTGATTACAGCAAGTTATTAGATGTAAGTAGGCCTTGTTATGTGGATTGTTAGAAGATGAGGTGAGTTTGTCAGTAGGATTACTAGCATTTTCCCTCTCACATATCTCCATATTTTATCTCAAACCTATAAATTTAGAAGTACATGTGTAAACTTTCAGTCGGTATCTCAAGAAAATTTTCTATCATTCACCAATTGATTAAAGTTTAATGATTATTTTTTGATTTTAATTACATTTATTATTTGATAAAGAAGTTTTCACCATTTTTCAGTTGATCATATCTAGGGAGTGTATAGAGGCATTGGAATATTCCCCCATAACAAAGAAACTTCTTGTGAGACTTACAGACAATATGACAAGGTAGATAACTGCATAGAAAATTAATGAAGAATAATTTTTACGGAAGAAAATTTATATGAGTAACATTTTAATTGGTATGTGTACATACCAGATATGCCAGAAATTTGCACTTACTCTAATGAGGGTACATTTTACATATACTGGTATATTAGACAAGACCCGAATTTCATATATTAAATGTTATATACTGGTAATTCAAATATAACATAACATAACTTTTCCTTTTTAGAAACCAGCTAGAATCTCTGAGACCAGACATTTCCAGCATGGTGGCTGCCGAGGCAACTGGAAAGGTCAAGGGTGTTATAGTGACCTTGAGAGGAGGTCAGGAAAACGGGGCTGTCAGTTTAGAAGGGGAGGTTTATGACTTTGTTTCTCGATATTTTGCTCCCTGGAATGGCATTCCAGAAGACCCTGTTACAGGTATATTTAATAAGTTTTCATGATCCCAATACATGTAGTTCTGTACAAATACTTTATCTCAAAACAGGGCATTTGAATTAAAATTGATTATTTTTAAATGCAAGTATTTATCACAGGCAATAAATGTCAAATCTTCTTGGTTGTTATAATATTTTAGGGTATTTTGGATACTAAGTGTAACTAAGTATACCTACTTATTTAGATTCGCTTTGTAATTTAATCTTAGATAACTTTAATTAAGATTTTGGGAACTGTTATGTATAAAAGGGACCTAGATTTCATATTCGTTTAATTCTAATGAGATGGTAGTATATGTATGTAAGACTCCAAAGTGCGATGGTGACGCCAAAGTCTGATGGTCTCGCAAAACCCCGATGGTCTGCGCCAAACCCCAATGGTTCGGTGTCTTAACGGACGCCAAAGTCCGATGGTCATGCTAAACTCCGATGGCTCGTTTCCTATGAGACACGTTGCTCTAAAGTGCGATGGTCTGATACGCCAAAGTCCAATGGTGCGAAGGAACAATCAACATTTATGACGTCACACTAGTCCGACGTCATGACGTTGCCCTGCATTCAAAATCCATTGATTTAGTATTTGTCTGGCATACAATTTTACTGATTTTGCTTATTGTTTTCGCCCATGAGAGCTATTAGGGTTAGTCCTTGTACACCATTCGACTGATTAAGGGTTAGTTCTTGAACACCAGTATGTTTCTTCGAACTCACCCGAGAGATTTTATGGTTAGTCCTCTCACACTATTGGACTGATTTGGGTTAGTCCTGCACCCATCCAAGATATCTAGCTTATAGTTGTTACACAATTTTTGAGTGATAAGTGCTAGTCTCGCACCTATATCCAAAAGATTAGGGTTAATCTTTGCATTTAATATTTATTTGTATTTATTTTAAACAATCAGGCCTTGGCATGGCACAGCATCGCATTTTTTGCACAGTAGTACTATGACGTCATAAACGTTAATTGTTTTTAGCCCCATTGGACTTTGGCGTGTCACACCATCGGGGTTTGGCGCAGACCATCGGACTTTGGTGTGGCCATCAGACTTTGGAGTCCCATCGCACTTTGGAGTCCTACATGTATAGGGCAGGAAAGATTGCACAGATTCACAAAAAAAAAATAAATAAACGGTTTCAAAAGGTTTTATTCTGATTTACAATTTTATGATCTACTTAGGTTCAGCCCACACAGTTTTGGCCCACTACTGGGGGAAAGTTCTCTCTAAAAAAGAATTATTTGGTAAGTAACTTGTAAAATTATTGAATTTGAAACAGATTTTGTCTGGAGTTTGATTATAATTAACTGGATGTAGATTTGTTATTTTAATATGCAGTGATGTGCTTTTTGTATAGACAGTATGTGTATGTTTAAAATAATGTGGTTTAAAAAAATACAGTATAAACCTATGAACATCAGGGAATATCATGGTTATGTGGGACATTGTGGGTATTACTGGGAAATTTACTTAACATTTTCTTGCATGGAATCTTAGTATGAAATGTTAAAAATGTTCAAGTTTTACCATGCATAACTTAAATAAGCTAGACTTTGTTACTTTATTAACATAGATCCATCTAAATAAAGTTAAAAGGAATGTTTACTGGAAAATTAAATTTGTAGATTGGCTTATATTTATTTTTCTATCATCATTATCAAATCAATCTTAAGATTTACTATATGGGTATTTTAAAAAAAGTGGGTTCTACCCAGACAACAAAGTGCTAATTCATGAATACCATTAACAAATGGAAAACACAGCACTTAAATGTGATGCACTATTCATGATTACACCAGCTCCTCAGTACTTAGTGATTGAGCTTAATTTCAAATATGTCAGTTTACGTACATGCACATTAACTTTCTTATTTAAAACCATTTTTTAAGATTCTGCCTTTATTTAGCTCGGCAGTGTTCACAACGTGGGGGTGATGTCAGAATGAGGATCCTGGAGGGGGACAGAGTGGACCTCATTGGCCAGGCTGTTACGGTCCTCAGGGGATCCCTACTATTGTGACAAATTTTCATTTGTTTCATTACTTATTAATTCTGGATGGGCCATTCATATTCTGTGGACAATTCTGTTGTTCCTTTTTATAAGCCATAGTATTGGTTGTAATTGGTTCAGTGGAGAGGAAGCTGAAAATGTTCAAATGTGCCTGAAATAAAGTTCAAAAACAACACAACGCAAAATTTAATAAATTTATAAATAAATGTAAAAAGAACAGATAAACACGAAATGAATTTAAGATGATATAGAAAGCTAGATAAATGGAAATAGATTGAGTTTCAACTGTGCTTGAAAAATTCTGTTTTGGTATATATATATAACGATTGAAGAGAGTCTCATATTTCCATACACTTTGCAAGACCATGCACCCAACACTGACTAACTACCAGTATGTACCGGTAGTCAGCTCGTGTTTTATTGCCATCAAACAAGCTATTCTTTCCCTTGGCAGTATTCTCCTGGTCCAACAATGATATCATTGCAATTACACTGTAATTTTCCAGTCTTGGAAGAGTGATAAAATGTGTGGATAGTTTAAAAAATTCTCCACCACTCTTCTCTCATTCGTGTTAGAATCCCTCTCTTTGCTGGAGGAGCTTGGGATGTTTCAATGTTGGTTTCAGTTGAATTAACATACACATTATTTCGCGACATTGGACTTGGACGACAACAGAAACAAACATGATCAGATAAACCCTGTAAAAGGTTAAGGATGTCTAAAAATAGTCAATAAAACAAGTCAATAATTGTTTTGGCGTGCTTGTCATGGCCATTTAATAAAATATTAGATATAATACAATGTATGCGCCGATGATGATTATATGGCAGCATAGGTAAATGAATATGGATAATCATAAGCAAGAGAAATACCATCTTGATCCAAGGAGCCTGGAAAAAACAGTACCCCCCGGAGACAGCATTCTTTGCAAAATTATGCTTAACAAAGTTAAAAACACCACAAACAACTGGAACTTTGAAAGGTCTGCCAAGCACATCAATAAGGTGGATCCTATTCAGCATTTGATCCATGCCATGACGCTGAAACGAGAAATTAAACGAAAACGAGAAAAACACCAAAAGAAAATTTACATTGCAATAAATCATGACATATATGCTTAAGGGGAATATAAAATCGACTTAGGGGGAGGGAGGGTGGGTTTAAAAATTTTGAGCGTCTGCTTCACTCTCAAATTATGGAATAGAAAGGAATATTCTAGAAGACATGCGCATTCAACAAATATTTTTGAGCACCGAACCCGATGAATTATGAACGTAATGATTAGGAGTAATCGATCTTAGCACATGTAAAAAACTAAGCTGCGGGAAATAACCAGGTTTATCCATATTTGATAAACTCCATTATTTCGCGACATTGGACTTGGACGACAACAGAAACAAACATGATCAGATAAACCCTGTAAAAGGTTAAGGATGTCTAAAAATAGTCAATAAAACAAGTCAATAATTGTTTTGGCGTGCTTGTCATGGCCATTTAATAAAATATTAGATATAATACAATGTATGCGCCGATGATGATTATATGGCAGCATAGGTAAATGAATATGGATAATCATAAGCAAGAGAAATACCATCTTGATCCAAGGAGCCTGGAAAAAAACAGCACCCCCCGGAGACAGCATTCTTTGCAAAATTATGCCAAATGGGTCAAGGGACCAAGTCACATGAGCCATCCGCCACAAACTAACATTGGGGCGGCAATTTTGCAGCCCAAAGTAACAATAAAAGCACAAATTGTGCACACAAAATTAGGTACCAATTGCACCGAAATTATGCCAAATCGGCTAAGTCACATAAGGCACAAATTGTGCACAAAAAATAAGGTACAAATTGCACCAAAATTATGCCAAATCGGCTCAAGTCATTTAAAGCACAAATTGTGCACACAAAATAAGGTACAAATTGCACCAAAATACAACTGGCTCATGACAAGCATCAAGGAAATGTTGACGAAACAAAATTACAACCAATGAAATGATCCAAAGCATTCCTCAAAATATTGATAAAAATACTGTTTCCCAAATCTGACAAATGAACTCCATCTTTTCTAAATAATTCCTTGCATTGAGCTCTAATATCTGGATAACTGACTGATGCACCCCGACCCTGAAACTTATTTAGCACAAATGTAGCACAGGCACTATTAATTCTACGTCTACAGTTTTGTCCTTCTGTATTTGCAAGACAATTAATCCAATTATTTCGAGGCAAAATATGTGACCAAATTATAAAAGTTTGTGGAAGTAAATTAGCAATATTTGCCAAAGTTGACTTGTAATATTTTTGAAGACCCCTTAATGTATTGTGAGCCTGACCAATATTATTGCCCCCACAATGTATAATAATAATCTTTGGCTTCTTGTTACGAGCTAACAAAAATTCAATTGTGGGATATAATTGCTCCCAGACCATACCCCGAATTCCATGCCACAAGATGTTGGAAGACTCCTGCCCAAGATTCTCTTGATTTGAATTCTTCGCATATATGTGAGCCCAATGAATAATTGACGAGCCTATGATCCAAATCGAATCTAAATATAACATTTAAAATTGATGAGCAAATTAAACACTTATTATTATTATTATTTTTTTTTTGAATTGTAACTTTGTGTCATATGACAATACATATACAGTGTAACTCAATGTAAATTTACAACGAACATGGTCTTATGTACGATTTGTAAGCTGCTGACTGCCACCTTCCCATCTGCTTAATATGATCCTCTGAAAACCCTTTTGTATACAAGTGGGTCGCACCCCCAATGCGAAATGAGTGCGTCTTAAATTGAGTTGACTGTATATTCAGAAACTGCAAAGCTTTGTTTAACATGGACGAAAACTGGTATTCGGTTAAGGGTTTGGAATTTAAATGAGAAAAATAGGACACCCTTTTTACATTGGTACTTAATGCAGCAAACTTCTGCAAAGATTGAAACAATAAATTTGTATCATTTGATTTTTTCACATGCACAAATGCCCCCGCACCAATTTGATCAGTCTTAGATGTTTTGATAAAGATTTCAATGGTATCACTAGATACAGTTATATGCTGGACACCCAAAGCCACCACTTCACTCACCCTTAGTAATGCAAAGAAAGCCAATGCAAAAGCAGACTGAAATAAAGCTGCTTCAAAATCAGAAAAACACAAATGTGGCAAAACACTGACAATGCTATTCAACAAAGGTAATGTAATTGGTTTTCTTATATCCTGAGACGGATTACATCTCTTGTAACCAGCTAACAACTTCTTAATAATAAATGAATCCACTGGATTCTGCCAACCATGCAAGTTAATGACGAAACTGATTCCTGATAAATAGCATTTGACAGTAGAAAAGGCCATATTACTCTCTGACAGATATGCTATAAAATTAATCATGTGATCAACGGGTGGGGGCCATATCTGCTGGAATGACAACTGTTGTCTAAAATTGAAAAAACTTTGCAATCCCTGACGGTATACATTCGCTGTATTTTGAGATACACTGGCCTGCAGAAGACTGGCTACAGTTCCTGAATAGCTCTCCAAAACTGAATAGGTACCATGGAGGGAAAGGGGTCTGCCCAAGGAGCCAATTGACGAAACCTGGTCCACTGAAACCGAGAAATAGCATCTGCAATTTCATTTTTAACACCTGGTATATGTTGAGCTTTTATTTGTACATTAAACTTGAGGGTCTGCAGAACTAACATCCGGACTAATATCATAATTCTTTTGTTTTTTGATGATTTGTTATTAATGATGTACACCAAAGATAAATTGTCAATATGAAGTAGGAGTTTTTTGTTCCTTAAGCTTTCAGCCCAAATCATAACCCCTAATACAATAGGTACAAGTTCTAGGAAAGTGATATCCCTGTAGCATTCCTCAGGCCAGCCATGAGGCCAATGCAGACTACACCAATGTTTACCGAACACAACACCGCAACCATGAGAACTTGAACTATCTGAATAAAAATGGAGTGAATCATCTTCCTGCCATACAAGACTAGGAAATTGTGTCCTACCATTAAAATCAGTAAGAAATTGAACCCACATTAACAAGTCTAACTTAATTTCTGCTGTAATTCTTATAAAATGGAAAGATTTTTTGACTCCTGTCATTGAACCATAAAGTCTTGAACAAAAAGCCCTTCCAGCTGGCAATGCCTTAACCACAAATGCAAGCGCCCCGGCCAATGACTGCATTTCTTTCAAAGTAACCTTTTTTGAATTAAGTATTCCATTTATCTTTGCCAATAACTCCCTAACTTTATCATCTGGAACAAATATAGTTCCGGAAATAGTATCTATGCCTAAACCTAGAAAACTCAAACGAGTAGAAGGTCCCTCTGTTTTCTCAAAAGCTAAAGGAATGCCTAAGTCTAAACATAACTCTTCAAACTGTCTCATTAAATCCAAACACTGAGATGAATTGGCCCTTCCTACAAACAAAAAATCATCTAAATAGTGAATAATGCTTTTCAATTTAGACCTCTGAGCTAATTCCCAGTGAAGGAATGTAGAAAACTTCTCAAATAAAGAGCACGACAATGAACAACCCATAGGTAAGCACTAGTCAATGTAATATGCACCAGAGTGTTGAAAGCCTAATAAACAAAAATCCTGTGGACAAACTGGTAACAGACGAAATGCACAGGAAATGTCCATTTTTGCTAATAAGGCACCCTCACCCTTACTCGCAATTAAAGAAACAGCATCATCAAAAGTGGAATAACTGACAGAACATAAATTGGGGTCTATGTAGTCATTAACACTGTCACCTGTTGGATATGACAAATTTGTGATCATTCGCCAACCACCTTGTTTTTTGGGAACTAAACCTATTGGATTACATCGCAAATTAGATATTGGGGGGTATAAAAATGGACCCATTATTCTTCCTAACTTAACTTCCTTATCAATTTTCTCCTGTATTTGAAAGCTGTACTGCATTGCAGATTTCATGTTTTTAAACTCCACCCTCCTCCTAGGACCATCAAAATTCAAGGAAAACCCAAATTTGAAACCCAAGGACAAACAATGAGCATCTTGAACATTTGGGTAAGTAGATAATATTTGATTCAAATTTTCACAATTAATAGGTGAGTGAACAAGTTCCCATAAATTCTGACAATTATGTGGCAGAATTGGACTGCGACTACTTTGAATACTGGAACCGCTGGTTCCTGGAATGGAAATGTGCACGATTATTGAAATTGGTCTGTGATGAAGATTGTTCTGACGCAGCAGTTGAATTAACCTTGAAACATTTCACCAAAGGATGAAAAGCATTACATTTTAGACAACTATGCACATAATTGCAATTTGACTTGTTGCAAATGCCCTGATAATTATAACTGTAGCATTTGTTGCGGGGCTGCAATGACTGCTGGCGTGATAAAGGGTTAGTAGGAGCAGTGGACGAATGCATATAGATCATCCACAGCTCTGCATCAACAGAAGCCCAACTTACAGCGGTGTTGTAAGATTTTTTCAGCCTAAACTGAATATCATATTCTAACCAATTTCCCTTGATTTTTTCAGCCCCCCTCTTTATCAATGACATATACTTAAACAATGAGATTGCTTCAGATGGCTGTTTGACTAAATAAACTGATGCAAAAATTGCAAAAGCATCTAGCCATTGTGATAGGTTTGAAATTTTTTGTTCCTTATGCTTAGGCTTTACCTGAAATACACCATCTTCAAACACAAGCTGATTTTGTTGTGTCGAGGTCGGATCATGAAAGAGAAGTGTACCAAAATTTATGAATTGATTATTGAAAATTTTTTCTTTCACTTTCTGAGGCAAATGCGCTGCTAGGGGTGATGCGGTGCTAATAAATGGATTTGGCAAATTATCTAAAGGGTCAAATTGAATTGTACCTTGATTAACTTCAGCTGAACTAGCGGGCTGCAGGGGAACTAAGGAGGCGACAGTGGACACAGTCTGACTTTGAGTCACGATCGGTGCCTGGTCAGTCACGATCGGTGCCTGGTCAACAATGGCGACATCATGCGGTCGAGGGAGCGTTGCTTCAGGTACACTTCGTTTTTTGGCCCTGGCTGCAGAATTTGTCGTTGTTGTCCGTGAATAGGGACTTCTAGACTTCGAAACTCTCGATGCCCGTAACATACTTATGACAACTCAAAGATGAAACTGCAGATGATGATCGATTAAATCGTCTAAAAATTTTGAGCGTCTGCTTCACTCAAATTATGGAATAGAAAGGAATATTCTAGAAGACATGCGCATTCAACAAATATTTTTGAGCACCGAACCCGATGAATTATGAACGTAATGATTAGGAGTTATCGATCTTAGCACATGTAAAAAAACTAATCTGCGCGAAATAACCAGGTTTATCCATATTTGATAAACTCCATTAAATCAATATCTCCTTCTAGCGGGACGGAAGAAATTATTGAATTCACAGTCTCCATTTTTTAGAGATAAAAGGACTATGGTTACGTGAAGGAGGTTTGTTCACAGTCTCCATTTTTTAGAGATAAAAGGACTACATATGGTTACATCGACGTCATTGTGCCATGACGTAATGATACATTACTCTGTCTTCGCTAGCCAAGAGTAATAATCTGCTCCTCCCACATTCCTTCAGATCGCTTTGATCTGACCGCCATGTATCAAAATATTTTTTAATTTAATTTGCTAGTCAGATCAGAGCGATCTGAAGGCCCGTAAAATGATGTATTTTAAAAATTTTACGAAATAGTTTGAATACATTTGAAAAGTTTTTGCCATTTTTACCTTTATTTCATTCACCTGTCAAAACAAGCAATCGGGACCTTATCTTCATCTAATGATAAAAGACAAGTCACTGCTGGGCTTTTGACCACTGATATCAAGGATGGTATTTTATCTAACGATAAAATTATGGAGCTTGTAGCTGAAAGGTGAGATAAGCTTTCTAACCCAGCATGAACTTCCGATGAAGAATCGCAGGACTTGCTGCTGATGGTGAATGCAATTTCTTTCAATTTTTCTTTATTCTCCACCACACTTCCTTCATTCATGTCATAATCCTTCTCTTTGCTTAACGCCCATTCTCAGCAATAAGGTGCAATTAATGTCGTTCCCTTGTTACTCGATATTTAATAATATAAGAATGTTTTTCAGTACGAGCAAGTAAACATAGGTTATGGTCTGTAAACATCCGCAAAAATGAGCAAAATCGGGAAAAGTCTTCCGAGATAAATACGTCTCTGAATTTATGAAAACGATACATACGTTACTGTCGCCAAATCCGTATTTCAAAAATAAAACATAATTGAAAAACTCAAATCTAATAAACGTGTATTTTTATGCACAGAAATTTACTGCACACCATATGAGAGTAAAAAATAATTATAAAAATAAAACATAAATCACATGTAAATGACAATTTTTTTGCAGCATGTCGTTGTCGCCCAGTTGTTTGATACCTACGTAACGCCATCATATAACTGAGCTTGTAAATTATGTTTATGCAAATATATTTTCATTTTCAAGAAAATCAAACAGTAGACACCTTGTACTATCTTGTAAAATTTATCTGATATTTACTTTCCCTGAAATATTTTCAAACGACTTATATGCATTATAAAACTTCGTCGGTTGTATTTTCGCAAATACATACGTTATACATCTTTCTAAAAGTATATAAATGTGTTTGGCCCTATTAATGGTACTTATATGATTAGGAAATGGTTCATATTTTTATTGCGTACACATTTTTAAATCATTCTCAACATTTGAAAAATGTACAGTGTATTAACTTACCGGAATTTACATACGTTACCAATACTTACGTTACTGAAAGAATATTACGCATTTTCTTGTATTACGTGTTTTCCATATAATGTACCTCATTACTTGATGTTTAAAGTAAGAAAATCATGGTTGTAAATACAGATATGCAATAAATATCAATGTAGTACATGCATATCAGTAAATCTTAAAGAGCTTCGATATTTTCGGATACCTACATAACATTCGGTAACGTTGGTATTAACTGAGCCTTAATTTTTCATTTCTTTTTTTTAAATAAAAAAATTAAGGTTTTTATAATGGCAGGAGTTATGTTGACAATAAGTCTACCATTTTAAATTATAGTTAATCTCGTAAACTTTATTATCTATATACCTAATACTCTTTTTAATCACTACAAAATCTTTGATCTAATCAGAACTTCTTTGTTTATAAATTTCCCCTAGTTTATTTCAATAGATGACCAAATTTGTTGATAATGGTACAAACACAATTTGATAGTTCTATACCTTCAGAAATAAACACAAAAATTGCAAGATTTTAAACTTTAACCCAACAAATCATATAAAATCTTTTGTCATAGCTAGTAACGTATGTAACGATTTTACGTTACGACAATAACGTAATATTTTATCATTTGTTTTCATATTCTGATTCAGTTATAGTCTGGATTTTCAAAATGGTATGTAAACTTATCCATATGAAGCATTCAAACAGTGTAATCTAATTACGGTTGCTAGTTACCAAATTACCTTATTAGTTAATACTTACGTTACTTTAGACGTACACAATTCCGAGACCGTATATTATTCTTTATAAATATTATAATTATGACTGTTTTTAAATTTATTGATTTTTCCATCGTCCACTTATCTCAATTTGATACAGGTCATGTTTTTCATGAAGGCAATTAAAAGTAATAAGTAACGTAACATACTACATTATTCAGTGATTATTAAAAGTGTTCTTCAGTTGTTCTAAAAACAAGGTTTATTGACTCTTATGCCTTAAAAAGTATAGATTATTTGCCCTTGCATCGAATACAAATTATATTCCTGCATATAAATGTTTTCTAAAGTAGTCAAAATGCCTTAAACATTGTATTTCCTATATCAATATACACAGTAACGTATATATTGGGGTGATTTTAAAGAAAAAATACCATGTATTTCAATTTGTCATAATTTTGTCATCAACAAATTGGTGTTATGGATATTTTACCATATAACTCAGAATTATCTGGAGAAAACTTTGCAGGAAAAAAATTGAGCGTATACTCAAGTTGAATTTTACGTCTCTGATATACCGTAACTGCACATTATTACTGAGAATGGGCGTTAAGCAGCGTGGGATGTTTTGATGTCAGTGTCAGTAGCGTCAACGTATACATTGAACCGATTTCTCCTTCTAGCGGGACGAATTTCTTGAATCTACGAGGCTTGGTTACAGTCTCCATTTTATTTCTGAGATAAATCAGGACTTTTTTTAGGTCATTGTCCCATTAGGTGAAGTTGCTTTACCCTATCTTCGCCCGTCCCCTCAGATCTTCAGATCGCTTTGATCTGACCGACATGTATAAACAATATTTTTAATACAATTTTTCGGTCAGATAAAAGCGATCTGAAGGCATGTTAAATGATGAATTTTCAAAGTGTTATGAAATACGCTGAAATTTTTTTAAGTACATGTGTATTTGCTATTAGTATTGTAACCTTTATTTCATTCACCTATCAAAGCAAGAAATCAGGACCTAAACTGAATTTTCTTCAACTGTTAAAAGACAAGTCGCAGCCGGACTTGCGGCAATTGAAAGCAAATATATGTATAGAGTTTTTGTAACAGCTAAATGAGATGAGCTCTCTAACTCAGCATAACTTTCCGATGAAAAATTGGAGGACTCTTGCGGTTGTGGATGAACACATTTTTTTCCCCCAGCTTTCTTTAGTCTCCTCCACGCAATCCCCATTTGTGTTAGAATCCCTTTCTTTGCTGGAGGAGCCTGGGATGTGTCAGTGTCAGTAGAGTCGTAGCTGGGCCTTTGACCAATGAAATCCAGGAAGTTTTTTTTTTATCTTTCTACAAAATTACGGAGCGTGCATTGTAACTGATAGGTGAGGTGGGCTCAGTCTCTAATTCAGCATTCAGCAGAGGAACGATTTGTGCCTCCCTATAGACCTTCAGATAGCTTTAATCCGACAGACATGTAACAAATATTTTTTTCAATACAATTTATCAGTCAGATCGAAGCGGTCTGAGGGCCCGTGAAATGATATATTTTCAATGTTTTAAGTTAAATACATCTGAAAAGTAAATGCTTTCTTAATTTTTATTTCATTCACTTATCAAAACAAGCAATCGGGTCCTTATCAACATTTTCACCAAGAAAGAAGTTCATGAATCGTCGAGGTTTGTTCACCGTATCCATTTTGTTGCCGAGATAAATCAGGACTATTGTGATGTCATTGTCCCATCCTCTTACAAAATCACCTTTGATTGCCAAGAGTGACGATCCGCTCCTCCTCACATACCTTTAGATATGGAGGCATGTGAAATGATGTATTTTCAAAGTTTTGTGAAATATGTTGAATACAATTTAAAAGTAAAATTTTATTATTATTACCTTTATTTCCTTCACCTATCAAAACAAGCAATCAGGACTTTTCAGAATCTTCATCGAATGTTAAAAGACAAGTCGCAGCCGGACTTCCGCATATTGAAATGAATTTAAGGATGAGGTTTTATCTTTCGACAAAACATGGACCTTGTTACTGAGAGTAGAGGTGAGCTCTCTAACTCAGCATGATCTTTCGGTAACGAATCGGAGGACTCTTGCGGCTGAGGGTGAACACTTCTCCCAATTTTCTTTATTCTCTTATAAGCATCTCGTTCATGTTACAATCCCTCTAGCTCCTTGATATAGGAGCTTCCAAGGATGTTTCAATGTCGGTCTAAGTAGAGTCAACGTATACATTGACCCGATTTTTCCTTCTAGCGCGATGAATTTGTTGAATCGACGAGAGCTTTTACACAATCTCCATATTGTTGATTAGTTAAATTAGGATTTTTTGACGTCAGAACACTGTGAAGATACTTTGCAAATTATCTTTTGCTAGCCAAGGGTGACCATCCTCTTCTCCCCAGAGGCCTTAGGATCACTTTGATCTGGCCGACATCTTTAAAAATATTTTCTTAAATACAATTCGTAGCTCAGATCAAAGCGATCTGAAGACCTGTGACTTGATGTATTTTCAAAGTTTTACGATAAATGTTGAATATATTTTAAAAGTAATTGCTATTATTACCTTTATTTCATTCACCTTTCAAACCAAGCAATTGTAGAACCTTCTCAGAATCTTCATCGAATGTTTACAGGCAAGTCGCAACCGGACTTCCGAATATTGAATTTAAGGATGAGCTCGGTTTTATCTATTGACAAAACATGGAGCTTGTAACTGAGAGGTGAGGTGGGCTTTCTGACTCAGCATGAGCTTCCGGTAAAG